TAACATTTGAAACTCTACAAGGAGGTTGCACAAGAAACTCACGGAGGCCGCACGTTCCCCACCTCTGATCTATACTGTAATAATGAAATAAATACAGCAATATAGAAAACATTTTTCATATATAATGGAGTGGAAATTAGATAAAATAAACCATTATAGGGCCCTCACTTGATACGTTGCCCAACTATCGAGCTACCTTAAGGATGTATTGGCTATACAGTCAATCCCTGAAGTTTATGTACATAGAAAAACGCATTTTCTATAATTAAAAAGAAATCAGACGTCGGAAAAACAATGCTAATAATAAATAGCTACGTGCTAAAAAGTATAGAAGGAAATATCCAATTAATTATTGACGCTGGCGAAAAGCTTTATATACAGAAGTTGTAGGCACTGACATCCTCTACAAGAAAGTTTCNTGAATTAATTTCTATACTTAATATACTCCTTTGTCACAATTGTAAGATGTAATGTTGCAGGTACAAGTGGAGGACGCGCAGAACCGAGCTCGTAGATTGAAAATACCTTATATAGAGTGCAGCGCGAAGCTGCGTATGAACGTCGACCAAGCTTTCCACGAGCTGGTTAGAATCGTTCGGAAGTTCCAGCTGTCCGAGAGGCCGCCGTTAGAATTGAATTATAAGAAGAACAAGAAGAAATGCTGCATGCTGTAATATGCCGATGTGTTCATATCCAACGAATCTCGTATCCGTTTAAAGTGGTACAAAATAATCGAATCGAGGTAGAATCGGGGAACCAATTAATCTATGCCAGGGATGGGGAACCTTTTTTTATATGAAAGGGTATACGTATTTTCTGAAATAGTAGCAAGACTGCATCAATTTTTCCAACCATAAGTTACAGAGTAAAACAATTTACAATAAAATGATTCATAATGTTTTCATAATAATTCATCTATCTTCGTTTTGTATCAACACAAAATTTAAAAAACGTAACAACTGGACTGCGGTTTTTTATGAGACGCCTGTGACATCAATGAAAAAAATTAAATCAGGATTTAAATTCCTTTTACGATTTATGATATTCTTTATTTATGTTAACAGAAAATCTTTTCATTTTCAAAAATAATGACGTATATTATAATTTTAATATTCTGTACAATTCTGCACATTGCGTATTTATGTTTTCTGCGCGTCTGAATTTTTTTTACAAATGCATAAAGTCCGCATTCTGGGAATAATTTTCCAAATTGTTATTGAAGTCAAATTACAATTGTTTT